TGGTTATGGTCATGTAATGTACAACTATCATACTGGGCAGAAAGTGGTGAAGCTGGTGACTAGGGTGACAAGTGCTTGCGGCATGTATAGGGAGATGTTAGAGAGGACAAAGTAAATAACATTACTTTTCTTTACAGTAAAGAACATTACAACGTAACTAAAATGCCAACATGTATCCCTTTCTTAAAAGAGTGCACGGAAGCATTCAGCCCTCCTCACTGAAGGATCAATAAGCATCTTCTGTACCATCATCAATTATCCCACAGACAATACTGAGATGCTGACAGAAGACAGAATGAAGGAGAAAAGATGGAGCATGAGGAAGGAAGAAAGGGACAATTCAGAAACCGCATCTTGGTTAAATGCTAGCTGCAGTGACACAAAAAGTAGAAAGCAACAGAAGGAGAATGGGCTAAGAGTCATATCCTTCAGAGGACAAAATGACATTCTTTAATTGCTCAGGAGGTTTTCAAAATTAGGTGTCTACCTCCAGCAGAGTGAAGATTAATCTTTATGGAACAGTTTGTATGACAAGTTGTTATAAGTCAGGAAGTGCAATTTTAGATTAAGTAGTTGATAGAATCAAATCAGTATTTCAAGCAAACAAGGGGAGAGAATTGTATTTGCTGTGAGTTAAAGTGATCCAGATTATTACACTGATGTCAGAACTTTCTAAACTCTATTACAGAGACATGTAACAGGCAAAAAATCATAATAGCTTCTTTGCTATTTTTCCTTCAGGGATAACAGCATGACTCGTTATTAACTGTCTTCCTTTTCCTGTTCAGATTGCTGTGAGATTCTAATTTGGTTTTCAAATGATTTAGGGAGGTAAAAGTGTTTTTAATCCTTGTGGGAAGAGAATGGAGAGCAAGTATAGTATTCTGGAATTAAGTTGTAGGTATTCTGTCAAAGCCTGGACAGATATGTAAACTGAGTCTCTTGGAAGCATCTAGTGAGACATGCATGCACCTGAGAGCTGCAGTCATGCTAGAAGCACCTAACCTTACAGACAGTAGAAACAAACAGTGCCCAATACAAGTGCTCTTGTATTTTGCTTGTGCACAAGCATTATCTGCATTTAAATTTCTAATTCAGACTGACAATATTCCAGTTATTCACCTGTTGTGGAAATCTATTTATTTCTACTTCCCAACCTACATAATCACTTTCTTTGGTAAAGAAAGGAGTGTCCCTTTTCCTCCCTCTGCACTCCACTCCTCCTCCTTTAGCCAAGTAACTTTTAGTGGCAAAGCTCCATGAAATGATTTGCTGATGAGGACACAGTCAGCACACTTATTTCATCCAAGTATTTAGTATATGATAGAGCCAAGCAGGCAGCTGTTCATAGACCTGCTACCAGAAAACCATTTAAAATATATCCAATTAGCTATGTCAGAAACACAATTAAAATGGGTATTTTAAAAGGAAGGAAGATTTATGTGATTTTCCAGCTCCCTTCCTCATAAAAACTTAAGTTATGTAGTCCTCTAGTGTAACCATGCAGCTTGATGACTGGCTATACCTCCGTTTCCAGAAGAGATGCAAGCATCTTGCAGTAAGTCAGAATAAAACTGGGATGTTAATTCTGTGCTCAGTGAACTACAGGGATTTTCCATTTTTTACTTCATGGAATTCAAGTAGCTGCATAGAGTATTTTAAATGGTTTGGTTTCTGACTGTTTAGAGAACATTTCTCTTCCCATACCTAATTTCCTTCAGTCATAATCAGTATCACCCAGAAGTCCTCAAATCAATATCAGCCTCCTGAAAAATAAAGGTTGGACAATTCTGATAGCATATGTCCATCAGTGTATGCTGTAAGTTATATGTTCTTACACAGGACACTCCTAACAACTGCAAAGGGTGAGGTTTCTGATTTATCTTAGGTTGATGGGGATATTATTTGCTTTCTGTTATTTTAATGTAAAAACAGTAATGCACAAACATTATTGAGACAGCTAAAGAAGAACATAGAGGAAAAAAAAAAAACATAATGAGAAACTTCTGGAAGAATACTTCAGTCCATCTACATTATATTATCAAGCTGGCCATGCAGCAACTTGAGAGACAAAAGGGTCTTACTGCAAATGGCCTGCAATGCTTGAAAGCAACTATTTACATTCTCGATGGAGAAACATCTCGATCACTCATACAACACTTAGACACATACAAGCCTATGGGGCCAGATGGGATCCACCCCAGGGTACTGAAAGAACTGGCAAATATGTTCACCAAGCTACTTTTAAACATTTATCAGCAGTCCTTGCTAACCAGGGAGGTCCCAGTGGACTGGAGGTTAGCAAATGTGACACCCATCTACAAGAAGGGCCAGAAAGAAGATCTGGAGATCGACAGGCCTGTCAGTCTGACCTCTGTACTGGGAAAGGTTATGAAGCAGATCATCTTAAGTGCCATCACACAGCATGTGCAGGCCAGGCCCAAAGAGTTGTGGTAAATGGAGTTAAATACAGTTGGTGGTTGGTCATAAGCAGTATTCCCCAGGGCTCAGTACTGGGGCCAGCTCTGGTTATCATTATCAGTGATCTGGAAGGGCGGATCAAGTGCACCCTCAGTAAGTTTGCAGACAACACCAAGTTGGGTGGGAGTGATGATCTGCTTGAGGGTAGGAAGGCTCTACAGAGGGATCTGGACAGGCTAGATCAATGGTCTGAGGTCAATTTTATGAAATTCAACAAGGCTCAGTACCAAGTCCTGCACTTGGGTCACAACAACCCCATACAACACTACAGACTTGGGGAAGAGTGGCTGGAAAGCTGCCCGGTGGAAAAAGACATGAAGGTGCTGGTCAACACTGAATATGACCCAGCAGCATCCCTGGATGGCCAAGAAGACCAATAGCATCCTGGCTATGTATCAAAAACAGTGCGGCCAGCAAGACTAGGGAAGTGACCAATCCACTGTAGTTGGCACTGATGGGGCTGAACCTTGAGTACTGTGTTCAGTTTTGGGCCCTTCACTAAAAAGAAGGTTATTGAGGCACTGGTGTGTCTAAAGAAGGGCAACAAAGCTAGTGAAGGGTCTGGAGCACAAGTCTTATGAGGAGCATCTGAGGGAACTGGGATTGTTTAGCTTGGAGAAAAGAAGGATCAGAGAAGACCATATAACTCTCTACAACTACTTGAAAGGAGGTTATAGTCAGGTGGGTCTTGGTCTCTTCTCCGAAGTAACAAGCAAAAGGACAAGAGGAAATGGCCTCAAGTTGTGCCCAGGGAGGCTTAGATTGGATATTGGAAAAAATGTCTTCACCAAAAGGGTTGTCAGCATTGGAACAGGCTGCCCAGGAAAGTGATTGAGGTGCCATCCCTGAGGTATTTAAAAGACACATAGATGTGGTGCTTAGGTACACAGTTTAGAGGTGGACACGGCAGTGGAAGGTTTGCAGTTGGTCTCGATGGTCTTAAAGGTCTTTTCCAACCAAACCTATCTGTGACTCTATGATCTACTTTTTGAATTAAAATCTCTTAAGCACATATCCAGCAAGTGATCAAAAGCAGGTGTAATCTAAAACCAAATATCAGAAGTTCTAAATCATTCTCTGGAATTTTTACAATGTTATTATTTGGGGGTTTTGCAGGTGACAAATAACAAATACATATTTACAACTGTAGTGACAATGGTGTAAAAAGTTGTATATTTTGTGTCAGAACATGCAAATGCCTCTTCATAATATATAATATTATGTATATATTACTACATAATATATACTAAATACACACACGCAAAATTTACATCCATAGTGAGGATGGATGAGGACAGTTCTCCTCAGATAGGATGAACTATCAAATGAACTAGATTTTTTCTAGGATTGGATAGATGTAGCTTCAATATAGCCTGAAGTCTACTCAAGGTCAAAGCCCCAATTTAAACTTGCAAATTCTTCTCCAGTGAGCCATAATCTTCATCCTGTTAAAATTCTCAGTTCAGTGATGAAGGCTTTGATTGCTTTAATTATGACCAAAATCCACTAACAGAAACTTCAGAAAAGGCTGTCAGGACCTGTAGTAAAATTTAAGTCATTTTAGTTCTTTTGTTGGAAGGAGAGCTGGTGAACTAGGAGAATAAGGAGGGGTGGGACTAGAGGAGTGGAAATGAAACAGTTTAACTATCTTCCAACAGTAAGATAAGCAAACCAATTAAAAGGATTGTCATCCTGTAATTACCAGAGAGCTCTGTATTACAGAGGGAGCTGAAGGTTTGTTGCACAACAAACAGTCATGCTTGTAATTTAATATGAATAATGAGCCAGATGCATGAACAAGACTATTAAATTCTTATCACAAGCAGCCATGTCCCTCATTGATTAATGACTCCGTGTGTCACCAAGGAAAGGAACTCCATTTTTAAGTGCAGATTGTCATCATCAATGTTGCCAAAGCAACCGGGTGTCTGCTTTTGACTTACCCCTGAATGCAGTAATTAAACTATTATGTGAGGAAACAAAACAATGATTATCCTCTTATGTGGAAAACTGAAGGCTATTAAGGAATAAGGGACTGGGGAAGCCAGATTTTTTTTTCCCAAGATAAATGCACCTGTGCAAGAACCAAGTTCAAGGTCAGAGCACATTCTCAACATGAAATCAATCATGGTCCCCTTACTCAGTTTCAAATTTGATGCTAATCAAAGTCTTAAATAGTTTCATACACTAGTAGAAACTCAGCAGAACCAACAGAAATACAAGAATTTAAGAAACAGGTGTGAAAAACACATACTTCACAGTAAATCAACTTGCTGAAGGCACAGTTAAGTAAGAAAACAGGTCAATCCTTTATATATGTTTTTTATAGAGTATTTATATAGAGAGAATATGTATGTGTATGTACACAGATAAATGAATATACACTCCACACGACTCATTGAAAAACGTATGCTTGACACTGTGTTTGGGTTTTGTTGTTGTTTTGGGGTTTTTTGTTAACATAAGATTTAGACAGTGTTCTATCAAAACCAGCTAAAACCTAGCTTCTTCCAACTTACAAGCTTCCCGGAGTTTTTCCTTGTCGTAATGTAGCCCCTCATATTCTTGTAAATTAATCCTGTTCACTCTGATCCTCAGGCGATCTGGGATGGAATGAGGACTGCAAGAAAAGAAGAAAGCTTCTTAGATGAAGCGTTCCATGGAAGAGCAAAATGAAAAGAGGATATGAAGTGATTTTAACCTTCTCCAAAAGAAGAAAAAGACCAAGTCTCTTCAAAACTAGGCCAACTATTCAAAGGCCCAACACTGCATTTAAAATTATGACTATCCACCACACAACAACATAGACATTTGACCATAAATGACAAGAAAGATTAAGAAGCCCATTTGCTGGCTGTGTGGTCTGGAATTACAGCAGGTTTTCTGAGTTCTCTAATCTTTATATAGCTATCCCTCCCTTCTGCACTTTGCCTTTTTTTACATCCCTAAGGCCCTACCACAGCCAGTAGATCTGAAAAGTTGTGTTTCATGACACGGCTGCTTTCTCTCAGGACAACCATTCCTCTACCCATGAGAAGATCCACCCTCATATTCCTGGAGGAACCTCATTCAGCACCTCTGTTCTGGGAAACAGGCAACAGACATGTGGCTAATAAATGGATTTTCACAGTAGTGAGTCCAATACACAGAACCTAGGAGGACTTTCAAGAGCAAGCAGCAGCACAGTAACCTCATTTTGAGAGATTTCAGCCAGATTTAGATGCCTCAAACATCTATATAAATTTGAAACCTTCAGTAGGTCCCTATCTGTAAATTTAAGTGTCCATATATTGGTAGAAAGTTGTCCTGAAAAGCTTTGTTTTGATTTCATGCTGGCTTCTACCTTACTGTAACTCATTATTTGATTTTGTAAGTTTAGCCGAATGCTATGTAAATTAACTTGGTCACATTTGCATTTTCCACTTTTAAAGAAAGATAGATAACTTGTGTGTTATATTGTATATATCAAATGTCTGTCCTGTAAGAACTGGCCCCTGGCTCAGTTAAAAGTAGATACTTCATCCTGTGCTTCCACCAAAAGACTGCCTATTTTCTCTGTTTTAATCTAGTTAGTAACAGAACTCTGCCAGCCACATGGGCACCAAATATACACACTGCCTTTTAAAGGCTGAAATATTGTGTACTGTCATAAACATACAGGCTTACTTTTTTTTGTCTCAGTTTTTAAGATATTTGACACAGCATTTGCACTGCTAGTTTAAACGCCAAGCAGGTCAAGCTACACCGAAAAATTGTAAACTTTTCTTTCTTTTTAAACCAGTGAGCAATTTTCTTTTTGACCTGAAAATACTGCAGACCTGACAAAATACATATTTTTTGTCCATCTCTTGGTAGAGCCACTAGAATGGCAATTAGCAATTATTTCATTCTTAGCTTATTGCATTGCATGTTTTCTTCCTGTTAGTATAAACAGCTCTGTTACATCTGGATAGATGAAAATAAAGGTTAAAAATCAAACCCCAGTTAAAAAAGCTCTATTGGCACAAGTACCCTTTGCCTAAAAAATGATAAAGGATAATGAATTGAAGGTGTCTCCAAAACTAGAGTGTAAGAAAACACACTAGAAGGAGCTGCAGTGAAGAAATTCACATTCTGAGCAGAAGTTTCTATATTAATGATGATGAATCATTAGATACATGAATAGCTTAGAAGAAATCATAAATGCTTAACAGCATTTACGCTCTTTTAAGACTGACACACTCAGAAACATATAGGCTGCCCAATGTTTTTCCTGTGCTGATTGACAGGGACTCTTGAATCAAAGTGCCCCAAGATATTAGCAAACTGCTCATATTTAAGATAAACTTTTAGAGTTTGTTAACAGACACCTGGGATGGTAACTTCCAGCACAGTTTCAGGGTCAGCTTTCTAACTCAGGTGCCCTTTTGTCATCTTACAGAATAGCAATCCCAACCTGCAGGCTCTGCAGCTGGCTCAGCAACCCTGAGAAGATGAGTGCGTGCAGATGGAGGGGAAAGGTGCATAGGTAGAACAAGAACATAATTGCATTGAGTCTGATACTTGTTTTTCTTTCTTTACTTTTAAAGACACATTTAAATGTCGCCTTGCTTGCTGAGAAATGAACATGGCCTGAGGAACTATGTTCCCTTCTAAATTCTATAAAATGCAAGTTCAAAAATGAAAATAATAGATTTTCTTTTTAGTCAAGAAAAGATAAAAAATGTTTAAGTTAGAAAACATAGAAATTTAACTGCACGGTCTTTGAGGGGAGAGAATAAATTATTCACTACATGTAGTGGGGTTCACAAAAACAACAAACTGACAGCTCTGAAAGTGAAGTCTTTTACACACTGATAAAATACAGGGAGAAACTACATTGTTTTTCTCATAATGTTCTGCCACCATGCATTGAGATGAAGGTAGCTCAGTCTTCACGACCTGGGAGTTGTTGGTAGGTGTGTGGAAGGGACTGCTTATCATCTCCCTCTACGTTTTGAACTTACTGGGAGGTAAAGGGGTGGGGAGACAAGAGAATTCGGCAACTTATTTCTGTTGTAACACTCAAACACGCTATAAAGACAACCATCCTTGCTATGTTCTGAATTAAGCCAAGCGTACACTCAACCCAAAAAACTGTCTCAAACTGTTGTTTTTCCTGAAACCAGAACCAGATCTGTACTGTTGTGTTGAAATCTTTGAGCAACTCAAACTGGAACTCTATAAAAAAATATATTTTCCAATCCCCACTTGACCAAAAGTTGATACTTCTGCACAGCAATTACTCAGCCCAGCACAAGGGATATTTGCCCTTCAAACCAGAATTACACATAGCTGCCCCCTACTCACTCTTTTCCATTTCTTCCTTGTTACAGAGCTCATCCATGTATGATGCTCAGACCTTCCCTTTCACTCTGTGACCCTGTGTTGTGGTGTCCAGTGCTGCTCTCCATACTAGAGGGGAAACAGTTTAGTACAGGAACTTTGCATCTTCCCAAGGTAAACTGTAATTTTAACTCCTAACAGAAGATCACTGACTCCTTTTTCTCCTTGATTCGTCCTTATAGATCTTCCATAGCAGATGTCAGAGTGATACTTGTCTTTCAACCACTCATTGCATCCCATCAGCCTGGATTTACCAACAATGTACTCACATCCTTCACTTTTAAGAAATGTATTTTTTATGTATTTCTGTACCTCTGCATTGTTTGTGCAGAATTTACTGCAGCTACAAGATCTTCAATACTTCCCGCTCACAATATCACTTCCTCCCCTTCCACACACTGGCCTTTCTCATGTTCCTTAGTGTATGACAGGATAGGAGTGTGTCTGATACAGGCTACTGGAGACAAGCCATGCTCTCTTGTGGGAAATACTGGGGAGAGGGCAGGTGATTGTCTCCCAAGCTTCCATATCTCCCTGTGAGCTTGTCTCAGTTATGCAATTGTTTCCATTTCTAAATGTTGAGGTGAAACAATTCAAGCAAGCCTGGGGTCACTAAAAAAACCCAAACAACTGTTAACAAAATGTTTCTTGTCTCATCCAATTACAACTGAATTAGAAGTGATTTTAAAAGTTGCTGTTTCAATATTTCTGTTTGGTATTTATATGTAACTGTCGTGTTTAAGTTTTCAGAAATGATTATTTTTCTTATGGTCCCTGGTATAGATAAGAAAGGGAAAAAAAAAAAAAAAGAGGAGTGATGTAGCCACTTTCACATACCAAATCTTTGACAGAGGCAAGAATTCAACAGAATTCTTCAGCCCAATATTCAATTCCTTATTCCCAAGCCATCTACCCATTCTTCTCCAAAGCTACTCTCGTTATGGTAGAAGTTAGGTTTTCAATAACAGTACAGTGATTTTTTTTTGTGTGTGTGTGTTGCTTTCCATCCAGACAGAGTGCCACCAAGATTTTTTTTACCTGTAGCTAAAAATGGAACACCTGAAAATATTTGGATGATTGTCTGAATATTTATTTTTACAAATAATTGTAATAACTGTCTATATTATCTACTAAGATTTTTTTTTTAAATTATATTCCAGACCCAAGACTTTTTAGTTCTCTGGGAAGATAATGTAAGAAAAATCATCAGAACTATCTTCCTTTTATACTCCTTTGTTTGTAACAACTCATTTGGCATAAAAATACTAGGAAAGTTATGTAAAAGCAGTTATAGTGGTGCTTTTTGTTTCTCAGTGTCTAAGCACTAGTTCAAACATTAACTTTCTTGGCAACCATTATCAATTAATTAGTGGTAGACTTATGTCTTACCACATAACTGGCCTCATTTCAAACACATCATCACATTGGATCATCTGGATCTCTCATGAAAGGGGGAGAGGAAAATAAGACAGGAAAACAGAACAGCTTCTCCAAGTGTGTCTTTGGAGCCTTTATGTCAAGGTGAAGGGGTGGTCGTGTTGACCCTATATTCAGTGCTCAAGAAGACCAGAACAAAAAAAAAAAAGGGGGGGGGGCGGGGGGAGAAGAGCAGGTATTGAGCCTTGTGCCAACATCTGCCAATCCTTAATTACCATCTGTTTCCCTGCAACCTCCCTGTGAGGACAGGACAGCGTTAGGACATCAAGGGGAGAGAAAGACAACACTAAATTCTGTAGCTATGCTGACTCACTACCTAATGCCACATAAGATAAAAGCCTGCACCTTCTCTTTGCAAATGTTACATCCTGGCTTGAAGCCAGTGGCAACTTATTGCACCTCCAGCAGCACCTTCTTGAGTCAAATTAGTCCTTTCATCTGAAAAAGAGAAGTAAGCAAATCTTTTTTATTTGATTGTAGCTGGAGAAGAAAAAAAATCTAAAAACAACAGCAAATCTAAAATACTTTTTACTGCTCCAGGAGACACATACACTCTCCAAAAGTACCTTTTAACTAGAAAATATCTAAGAGAATACTTCTTATGCTTTTGTAAAAAGTATAATTTTTTGGTACATCGGTGTACTGTATATCTCAAAATTTGCTTTTATGGAAAAGCCAAGCACACCATCTTAAATGTAATGTATTACCTGAGAATAAATTGTTCCTTTCCAGGTCAGTGTGGAAGGGTAATCAGCTGGCAAGTGTCAGAGTTTCCTGTTCTTCTTCTCCTGTTCACCCCCTTTTTATAAAGACTGGGAA